CGGCTTTGGGGCTGCTCAGGAGGCGGCCAGGGTCCCTCCAGGGTCGCTCCGAGCGGCCGAGCGGTCCTTTCCTGGGCTTCCCGGAACTGAGTTACAGGAGAGGGGGAACTCCATGCTTTACCCGGGACCTGCTTAGTCTTTGGCATTGATTGGCCCTCGGGTTTCACATAGCGTTTCCCGTACCGGGATCCAGTGAACGGTTTTCCAGAGGCAAACCTCTCTGGATGTCTGAAAATCAGTTCACCCAACCTTGAATGCTTAGCCAGAAGAGAGAACTTCTGGAAAGAAGTGTCCTTCCCTACTCCCCCTGCACCCCCAACAGGCCCATGGATCATGAAAGGCAACAGATGAGGGAAAACTGGTGTCAAATGGGCATATTTTTTATTTTTTATTTTTTTAACTTTTTTGTAAAAGATGAGGTATTGCTCGGTTGCCCAGGCTGGAGTGCAGTGGCACAAACACGGCTCCCTGCAGCCTCCACCTCTTGGGCTCAGGCCATCCTCCTGCCTCAGCCTCCCGAGTAGCTGGGACCACAGGCGCGCACCTCCACGCCTGGCTTTTTGTAGAGACAGTGGTCTCACTATGTTGCCCAGGCTGGTCTCGAACTCCTGGGCTCAAATGATCCTCCTGCTTAAGCCTTCCAAAGTGTTGGGATTACAGGTGTGAAGCACCACACCCAGATAGCATATTTTAAATTAGGCATCATATCCCTTTAATTTTTCATCATTATGATTGGAAGGTCATGATAAGCTGTCTGAGTTTTTCCTTGGCATTTTTCTGCGGTGGATGGTTAGTTGTTTGGTTTTTTTTTTTTTTTTTTTTTTTTTTTTGGTAGATACGGAATTTCACTCTTGTTGCCCAAGCTGGAGTGCAATGGCACGATCTCGGCCCACTGCAGCCTTCTCCCTGGTTCAAGCGATTCTCCCACCTCAGCTTTCTGAGTAGGTGGGATTACAGGCGCGTGGCACCACGCCCAGCTAATTTTATTTTTTAGTAGCAACGGGGTTTCACTGTGTTATCCAGACTTGTCTCGAACTCCTGACCTCGGGTGAGCCACCGCCTCGGCCTCCGAAAGTGCTGGGATTACAGGCCGCACCCAGCTGGTTGGTTTTAACAGCAGTTCAAGAAGCTAGCAAGAAGGCCTTCATTCGTGATGCTAATGGTTTAATGATAGAAACTAACATTTCTGGCCGGGCCCAGTGGCTCACTCCTGTAATCCCAACACTTTGGGAGGCCAAGGCGGGCAGGTCACTTGAAGAGTTCAAGACCAGCCTGGCCAACATGGTGAAACCCTGTCTCTACTAAAAATACAAAAATTTGCTGGGCCTGGGGGCAGTGGATGCCTGTAATCCCAGCTACTGGGGAGGCTGAGGCAGGAGAATCGCGTGAACTGCCCCGCCTCAGGTGGTGGAGGTTGCAGTGAACCAAGATTGTGCCACTGCACTCTAGCCTGGGTGACAAAGCTAGACTTCATCTCAAAGAAAAAAAGCAGCTAGGATTTCTTGGGTGCTTACTGTATGCCAGGCATTGTGCTAAGTGCCTTGCTTCCCATTGACTTGTTTTCCCATTTTGTGGTTGAGGTACAGAGAGGTTAAATAACTTGTCTGAGGGCACATAGTTACTGAGTGGCAGGGATTTGAATCCAGAATATTCTCATGTAACCAGTTCTCCAAAAACTAGCCCTTGAAGGTCTTCCAGGTTTCAACAAAGCAACTGAGGCTTACGCATGATGTCTTCCTGATGTCAGAAGGAAGAACTGTGAAAGGCAAAGCGAACCCGGGAGGCCGAGGCTGGTTACCGCGGTTAGTGTTCGGAACAAATTGACTTCATGGAGCAGAGAAATAGCCTGTCTGGTTTAAACCACTGTTCAGTATCTACACTAATACAGTGGTCATTTTGCCATTCGGAGATGTAGTCACATTTTACAGGAAGGTTAGCTCTGGGACCAGACTGTATTCAAAACCTATCACCTCTAGTTGCTTAACCTTCAGTAAGTTATTTGACTTCTCTCTTTTTTTTTTTTTTTTTTTTTTGAGATGGAGTCTCGCTCTGTTGCCCAGGCTGGAGTGCAGTGGCACGATCTCAGCTCACTGCAACCTTCACCTCCTGGGTTCAAGTGATTCTCCTCCCTCAGTCTCCCAAATAGCTGGGATTATAGGCACCTGCCACCACGCCTGGCTAATTTTTGTATTTTTAGTAGAGACGGGGTTTCACCATGTTGACCAGGCTGGTTTTAAACTCCTGACCTCCAGTGATCCTCCTGCCTCAGCCTCCCAAAGTGCTGGGATTATAGGCATGAGCCACCACGCCTGGCCACATTATTTGACCTCTCTTTGCCTTAGTTTCCTCTCTACTCACTGCTAAAATGGGGATAATCATGGGACCTACCTCATATGGTTGTGGCAAGATTTAAATGGTATGATGCATGTCACACTGATAGCCGAGCATTTGGCATATAGTTAAATACTCCATAAATAGCTCTTTTATTATTAAAAGTATTGTTCCAAGTAGTAAGCTGCTGCTAATGTGTGCTGTGTCACAGTGCTTGAAGTCACCATTAGAGATGTATTCCTTTGTCCATATTTCAAATGCAGAAATGACAGTGGTCCTGTGCAAATGGGATTTATTTGTCCATTTAGCAGATATTTATAGAGCGCCTTCTGTATGCCAGGCCTTGTTTTGGATACTGGAGGTACTGCGGAGAACAAAACAAACAAAAGTCCCTGTCCTCATTGGCACGCACACTCTTGGGGGAAGGAATGGCAGACAATAGGCAAAATGAATGTAATTATCATACAGTATATTAGAAAGCGATGTACTGCAGAGAGAAATAAAGCAGGAGAGGAGGATGGGGGTGGGCGGTTTACAATTTTAGAGTGGTCTGAGTAAGCCTCACTGAGAAGATGACATTTTAGCAAAGAACTGAAGTTAGTGAGGGAGTAAACCACGTGGACATGGTGGGGGGTTGGCCAGGCAGAGAGAACAAGTGCAAAGGCCCTGAGGCAGGAGGCTGGGCAGCCAGAGCCTAGATGGGCAGGATGGTAAGAGAAGAGCTCAAAGAGGTAATGGGTGGGAGGCCAGAATGTGTGGACTCTGCAGACGTCTGCACAGAGGAATGGCATGATCCAGCTGGAGCTATAAAAAGGTCACTGACTGCCGTGTTGAGGCTCAACCATAGAGGGTCCGGATAGACAGAGGAGACCAATTAGGAAGTTCCTGCAGTAATCCAGACAGAGATGACGGTGGCTGGCACCGGACTGGAGTGGTGGAAGGTGGTGAGAAGCAGTTGTATTCTACATAATTTTGAAGATAGAAACTACAGGATTTGCTGACAGATCAGATGACCTCAAGGTTTCTGGGTCTGAACACCTGGAAGGATAGAGTTGCCATTTACTGAGAATGGGGAAAGCTACATTGGAAGCAGGTTGGGAGAGAAATCAGTTCAGTTTTGTACATATTAAGTCTGGCAAACATCCCACTCATGCTCTCAGAATAGCAATTGACTGCATGAGTCTGGAGTTTAGGGGAAGTTCGGGCTGTAAATAATGACTTGGGCAGATAGGCAGTTGTGTGCTGGTAATGTTTACCAACTGACTCTGTGAGGGGTGGGGTTGCCCAGATTTATAGCCTTTGCCTGTATCTGTGGTGTAAATATTCCCACATTGGCCAACTTCAAATACACTATAATATATTTTCACCTCATAGATGCAGTGGATATAAATAATATCAAGAGCATAGATATTAGTGAAATGCAGTCAGATGATTAGGAAGTAATGAGTTTTGAGTATTTATTACCTTTTTAATTTATGTAATGAATTTTTTTTTTTTTTTTTGAAACGGAGTCTTGCTCTGTCACCCAGGCTGGAGTGCAGTGGTATGATCTCTGCTCACTGCAACCTCCAGCAGTTTTCCTGCCTCAGCCTCCCAAGTAGCTGAGATTACAGGCACCTGCCACCACACCCTGCTAACTTTTGTATTTTTAGTAGAAATGGGGTTTCGCCATGTTACCCAGGCTGGTCTCGATCTCCTGGGCTCAAGTAATCCTCCCGTCTCGGTCTCCCAAAGTGCTGGGATTACAGGAGAGGTACCTAAAGATGGGAATGAGGATTCTCTGAGATGAGAGAGGAACAAGGACCCCAGAGCCCGATATGGAAGCTTTTGTCCCCATTCTGGCCACGAGGGCAGTGAATGCAGATCAGAGGTCATTGATAGCAGGCTTGATTTTTATCTGCATTGATGGGTTCAGCATAAATGGACCAGAACAGGAAGAGTGCAAAAAAGAAAACAAGCAAACAAAAAAAACCCAAAAACCTTGGGTTGGCTATTGTAAAAAGACTACGCACATCGCCGTGTGCTTTAGTTTCAAATGATCTTTAGTTTGAACTTTTGTTTTACTCCCACATGTTCTTTTTAAAAAATTCCAAACTCATGGGTCATGATTTGAAGAAAATTTCCCTTCCTCCTGCCTGGCGCACAGAAGGTAACGTCAAAAGCCGGGAAAGGGAACAGGGCAGCAGCAGACATTGACCTTTACCTCCCAGCTCCTCTCTCCCACCCCTTGTCGGCTGGGCATAAGAGGATTAGAACTGCTTCCTCCTGTGGTTTACCAGAAAACGCTCTGCGGCTGGAGCTTCAGCACAGGCTGGGTCTGTCTGTGCTGGGTCTGGTTGGGGACAGCTGCATGCCTCTTCCGCTTGGGTGAGAACAAAGGCCGGAACCTGGATTCTGATCCAAACCCCCTGGCTGGCCAAGCCAGTGCTCTCACCTTCTGGGATGTTAGCAGAGCCTTTTAACTGGTAAGTCTCTCCCAGGATGACTGGTAGGAGCCTCTCAGGAGTAGAGTTGGAGACAGTGAAGGATGCCCAGGACTGGGTTCATGTGCCCACAGTCGGCCCTGGCTCTAAGATGAGCCATCAGAAGAAGGTCTTTTCCACCTCCCTACAGGATGCCCCCACAGCACTTTGTTTCGTAGTGAGTGTATTTCTGGCAAGTATCTTAAATAAGAATTGTAAATGAAATTGCATCCTCCACACACGTAAGTTACAGCTTCAAGAGTTTTTGTCTTAACTGCTGAATGACGCACAGTTCTCAGCTCTTGGCTTCATATTTTAGTTCTGTTTCCTTGCCTGGCTGCAGAGGTCAAGGCTTGAAGCAGTCATTTGCCTTATAGAAAAGTGGAGGGCAGTTCCCAGATAATAGGGTGCGGATCTCCTTTCCTCGGAAAACAGGACTTAGGGACACTAAAAGATCACACAGATCCTTTGTCTCACCCTCCCATTTCCTAGTTGAGGAAACTGAGGCCCAGCCAGGCTAAATGACTTGTTCAAGGTTATGCGGTTGTTTAGAGGCAGGGCCTAGACAAGAGCCACCGCACAGTCCAGTTCCCAGTCTGATGCCCCCTCCTCTTAGAGCTGCTCAAACTTCTCACTAAAGATTTTCTCACTGATTTGTTCAGTTTTTGAAAAGAAGGGATTCATAGTTGGATAAGCCTTTGGAAGGCTACTTGCATGCTCTTTGACTAACTTCAAGTATGTAATTTCAGAAGATTTATTTCATAGGCCATTCCTCTCAGAGCAGGCAAGGAGGCAGAGGGGAGAAGTGCTTCAGAGGAACACCTTCTGAGGCAGGGCCTTGCAGCATAAGGAGGAGGCGTGGAGCCCAGGAGATGTGTTAGAGCTGTGGGTGCCTCTGCTCCAGAGGCTGGGGTCCCTCTGTTCCTGACTTTGACTTAACTGGACTTCTCTGGGCCTGCTTATATCCCTGTCAGGACAGCAGGGAGGATGACCAAGCCAGCCTTCCTCCTGCTGCTTCCAGACTAGTCGGGAGTGTTGAGTTAGGAACCAGGGTTTGATCTCCAGTGCTGGCTGCAGGGCCTGGCTCTGTAGCCCCAGGAGAGGGGGGAGGTTCACAATCCTTTTCCTGAGAGCAATGGTATTATACCACCCTTGGGGGCCAGGAGGAACTTTGCATTTAATTAATTAATTAACATTTGTATAGCATTTTTGTCACATGTATCATCTCAGTCTTCACTGCCCCCGCCCCCCACCCCCTGCCTTGGGTGATGGTATTTGCCCTGTTTTATGGATGAGGAAATGTGTGTGCTAAGGCTCTAAATACCTACCTGCCCTTATGGAAAGGTGGAGGGCGTCTCCCTGATTTAATTAGCCGATTTATTTAATTATTTATTTAATTTAATTTTTTTTTTTTGAGACAGGGTCTCTCTCTATCACCAGGCTGGAGTGCAGTGGTGCAATCATGGCTCACTGCAGCCTGGACCTCTCAGGCTCAAGCAGTCCTCAGCCTCCTGAGTAGCTGAGGCTACAGACAGGTGCCACCACACCCAGCTAATTTTAAAATATTTTTTGTAGAAGTGGGGGTCTGGCTATGTTGCCCAGGCTGGTCTGGAAGTCCTGGGCTCAAGTGATCCTCCTGCCTCGGCCTCCCAAAGTGCTGGGATAATAGGCGTGAGCCACTGTGCCTGGCCTAATTAGCTGACTTAATTAGACCACGAAGCTAGGCAGTGGTCCTGAGCCCAGGTCCTTGCACCCAAATGCCTCGTTCTTCTGCTTGACTAAAGAAGCTGTTTAGCATCGTGACTGAGGCCCCAGGCTTTGTGGCTTGACAGTTTCCTTCACCTTCCAGTTTCCTTGTCTGTAGAATGACTCCTCACAGAACCCCCTCCGCAAGACTGTTGTGAGGAACGACTGGAACGGTGCGTTTAAGTCACCTGGCACACGCTGACTACTTGGTTAACACAGGTATTATTATTGGACTCAGGAACAACCAGTTTTTACAAGGGGATGGGCACATGAAACCATTTGAGACTGTTTCGAAACACCTGTGTTAGGACCTACCCTACGCCTTCTGGATCAGAATGTCTTTGTCTTGAGAAAGGCAGCAGGAGGCGAGGCACGCGTGTTTGTTCTGATGCCCTCCTTTGATGAGAATCGTTACTCTGGTACTCACTGCTCAGTATTCCAGAGTCTTGCTGCTCGAAGTGTGCTCTTGGACCAGCTGTGAGCACTTCAGGTCCCCTTCCTTCTGCATCAGAATCTCCTTTTAAAAAGATCCCCAGGAAATTCAAATGCTCATTAAAGTTGGAGAAACACTGTAAAGGTTAAAAAACATATAATAAAACAAATATCCACACATACCACCCACACCCGTTTAGGAAAGAGTTGTTCTCTAGTCGTTTTGCAAACACAGAGTAAACAATCATGTTGTAATACCCAGTATCTAGGATTTGTTTAAAGAAGTGCTGGGAACATAACAGATAAGGGAGGCCAACCTGAGAACCGGGGACCCAGAACAGGACTCATTAGGGAGGGACTCAAATCTCAGAGTCAGAACAGGATTAAATAGAGGGCCAGGAGTCAGTTCAGGCCAGGTGGCCATCCATCACAGCTGTCCGCAGTCTTCTGGGGTGGGGACAGAGGTGCTGGCCCTTGGGGCTCCCCCACCTGCCCATGCCAGCACTCTGGGGGCTTAGCTCCTCCCTTTGTACCAGGCACGTCCAGAGCCCTGGCTACCCGGATCCGATCAGCAGCTCTGAAGCACAGCCTGCCAGCTGGCGGCTCCTCCTTCTCCAGGCTGTTCTCTGGGCTTCAGATTTCTCACTCGCCCTCTCCTGCACTGACCTTGCAGCTTCTCCTTCTCTCTAGACGGGCGATTGCCAGTTGAGGAAAAAATGCTTGAAGGGCCAAGGACAGGGACTGGAAAGCAGGAGGAAAAAGCAGAATGGTCCTGTGGTCCGTGTGTGTATTTAGGGGTGAGGGCAGATACAGGGAGAGTTGGAGAGGAAGGCTGGGGAGTCACTTGTGTGGCCCCGATCCTCTAGTTAAAGCTCCAGTGATGGACGCGTCGTGTGTCCTATAGACTCTGGCTCAGACACTGTTGTTGGGTCCTCACCTTGGGTTGGTCACTCACTAGGACCCTCTTGGAGATGGATCTCGAGAGCGATGAGGAAGAGGCAGAGGGGACGGTGGGAGGAGGGGGTCGAAGTCAGGGTCAGGAGGCAGATTTGGTCCCCTCTGTATAGCGATGGTGGAGAGGTCATTGGGTGTGTCATGCAGTGACTGCACAGTCAGTCCCAGCTCCCCTGCTTTCTTACTCTGGGACCTTCATTGACCTGAGCCTCAGCTTTACCATTTGCAGAATGGGAGAACTATAACAGAACCCACCCCATGTGGTTCTTTCCAGGGTTCTTGTCTGGATTCATTGAGCTCTAATGCATATGAGTACTTAGTGCCAGCACTAAGCGTTTGCTGGTATCGCTCTTCCAGGATGACACCTGCCACTCAGTGCTTCATAGGTGGTAGGCACTGGCCTAAGCTCATTACAAGCACGAACTCCTTTTATTCTTATCACAACTCTGTGGTGTAGGTACCACTATTACCTCCATTTCAGGTGAGAAAACTGAGGTGCAGCCAGGTTAAATAATTGTGCAGTTACTAAGGGGTTGAGCTGGGATTCAGACTTGGGCAGTTGGTCTGGAGTCCATGTTTCCTGTCACTATGCCATCCCAATTATTAGTCATCATTTTGTAGTTGGAGCCCAGTAGACATGGAGAAGAGGCAGGTGAGAGGCGAGAGGAGGTGGTCCTACCCTCTCACTGTTCCAGCTGTCGCCTGAGGACCTGCCAGTATACCTAGGCTGGGGCTGCCCTGTTCGTCCAGGTGACCTGTGCTCCTGGAAGAGACTGGCCTTGGTCATAAAATGGACAGCTCTACTCCCAGGCCTGCTGCCCTTCCTGGTGGCCTTTGCCACTTTCCTATGCTCCCGGCAGCAAAGTGGTTCATCTCTAGCAAGTGGTCTCTAACTTTCCCAGGCAGAGTCCCTGTCTGCAGGGCAGGCTCCCTACCCACTGGCTTCCTGGAACAGAAACCAGGCCGCCACGAGGGAGGGACAAGCTGTGGGCCTATAACGTTTTCTCAAGAAACACGTGGTGGTTTCTTGCCAGGCAGGAAATGTTTGTTTCCACATCATAGCCACCTGAACCATGTCTGATCCTTCCTTGTTCCTCGTCTGTCTCTCTGTGCACCCCAGGCAGCCAGGCATGTGGAAGATGCTCATAGTGGTGATGTGCGTGGCCCTTCTGGGCTGCCTGCAGGCCCAGGAGCTCCAGGAACATGTCTCCATAATCCTGCTGGGAGCCACTGGGGACCTGGCTAAGAAGTACTTATGGCAGGGACTGTTCCAGCTGTACCTGGATGAAGCGGGGAGGGGCCACAGTTTTAGCTTCCATGGAGCTGCTCTGACAGCCCCCAAGCAGGGCCAAGAGCTCATGGCCAAGACCCTGGAATCCCTCTCCTGCCCCAAGGACATGGCACCAAGTCACTGTGCAGAGGAAAAGGATCAGTTCCTGCAGCTGAGCCGGTACCGCCAACTGAAGACGGCCGAGGACTATCAGGCCCTGAACAAGGACATCGAGGCACAGCTCCAGCACGCAGGCCTCCGGGAGGCTGGCAGGATCTTCTACTTCTCGGTGCCACCCTTCGCCTATGCAGACATTGCCCGCAACATCAACAGCAGCTGCCGGCCAGGCCCGGGCGCCTGGCTGCGGGTTGTCCTTGAGAAACCCTTTGGCCATGACCACTTCTCAGCTCAGCAGCTGGCCACAGAACTCGGGAGCTTTTTCCAGGAGGAGGAAATGTACCGGGTGGACCATTACTTGGGCAAGCAGGTGAGCATCAGCGTGGAGCCTGCCAGGGCTAGGGTGAGTTGGATGCTGGTAGACCCCAGCAACAAGGCCACTTACTCATTGTGGAGCTAGGCCCCAGGGCATTGTGAACTCAGAGCTCCCGTGGTCTCCTTGAGGGTAGGCAGGAGGCGAGGGGGTAAAAGAAAGACAGCAGCAGGGCAGGACTGTTGGGTCCTTGTCCATGTATCTGGCCTCTTTTGTCCTCTACAAAGCCCCCATTCTCTTTGTTTCCCAGTCTGGGCTCTGGCTTCTCACGGTTGCCCTGCATCCTCTGTGGAGGCGGCCCAGCAACTCTGGTGTCTGGACCTGGCTTCCTGTTGGGTGTGCTGTGGGAATTAGAACGAGCTTTCTTCCGCACCCATCCACCTTTTTTTTTTTTTTTTAAGACAGAGTCTGCTCTGTCCCCAGGCTGGATGCAGTGGCACGATCTCGGCTCACTGCAACCTCCGCCTCCTGGGTTCCAGCAATTCTCCCGCCTCAGCCTCCCAAGTAGCTAAGATTACAGGCACGCATCACCAGGCCCGGCTAATTCTTTGTATTTTTAGTAGAAATGGGGTTTCACCATATTGGCCAGGCTGGTCTCGAAATCCTGACCTCAAGTGATCCGCTCGCTTCGGCCTCCCAAAGTGCTAGGATTACAGGTGTGATTACAGGGCACCCTGCCCCATCTACCTTTTTTCAAAATCTTTTTCTTCCTAAGTTGTGTTTTGAGCCAGAAGGTTGGCAACAAGAGCTTAAACCAGGGAGTAGTAGGACTCTAAGCCCTGGGCAGGGGCATGGGGTAACCTCCTGGGTGACACATGTGCGTTGACCAGTTCACTCAAAATGCCTTGGAGGCCCTTGGGCACATCCTGTCCCAGGAACCCCGGCAGAGAGCGCAGCAGCCCTGTGTTCTGGTACATGGTGCTGGCGGGCATAGGTAGTTGCTGAGGACAGAGACATGGCTTTCCATCCCACCCTGCCTGGAGTTGCCCATAGTAGGATTCCTAAGTAGTGGTCCTCAGAACTGGGCCAGTCCTGGGGAGATTTTCACTTGTTTCTAGTAAGATGAGAAGAAATACTGAATGTGCTCAATTCGAAGCTTTTCTTGCTACATTTTTGGTGTTAAACCTGTCTTTATTTTATTAAAAATTGTAATAGAAGATAGGTAATTTTAACTATTTCTTTTCTTGGCAAAATACAAATCTGGTAACCCTTTGGAGGTCACTTGCAAGTTTTTGGAACCTTTACTGGCCTGTGAGATCCTGAAGTCCAGAACTGCTGCTCGGAGGGCATCTTCTGCTCTGAGCAGGGAATAGAGAGGTCGGAGCCCTTCCCAGGAGTCAGGGTTCCTCCTTCATCACGAGAGGAACCTGCAGCATGCCCAGTCTTCCTCCTGACAGGCCGTGGCACAGATCCTGCCTTTCCGAGACCAGAACCGCAAGGCTTTGGACAGCCTCTGGAACCGGCACCACGTGGAGCGGGTGGAGATCATCATGAAAGAGACCGTGGATGCCGAAGGTGTGTGATTGGCCCGGCGCGCTCGGTTCCCCAGCCTCTGCCTGCCCACTGTCTGCGGTGAGGCGTGGGGCGCTTCTCAGAGGGAGGTTTTCTGTGGGCCTGTGGTCTCCCTTCGAGCCTGCCATGTGCCTAGCTCTGGACCGGGCTAAACCCCAGGGTGCCAGCTGGCAAAGCCCAAGTAGCCATTGCTGCCCATGGGGAGTGTATCGTCCAGAGAAGTAGACGTGGCACAGAGGCAGGAAACCACTGGCACGCGGTAGAGGCTGGAGTCCCCCTGAGATCCCCCTGAGTTTTTGAGTGTGTAGAGACCATGGGAGCTGCGTGAGGGCTTCTCCAACCGTGGTGCTTGCAGCCGTGGCACCCCCTGCCTGGGGTACTCCCTGTCGTGTCCCCCTCACCTCCTGACCCCTCTGTCGCTTGTTAGATCTCAGCTCCATGGCCCTCCAGGAAGCCTTTCTGAGCCCTGCAGACCCACTCCCCTCACCCGCACGGCGCCACACGCCTCCCTCCCCTGCCCTGCATGGTGTTACCCTTGCCTCGTCCTTTTCCACCCTGTCCCTCCTGCCAGCCTGTAGGCTCCAGGAGGACACCGCCTCTCCGGCACCTGCCACACACCTCAGACACGCTGAGTAAACACCCGGGAGGTGGGGGGCCCTGCGTCAGGCCCACCTCTGCCTTCAGCTGGGTGGCTTCAGCATGTCACTCCCTGCAGCTGTGAGATGAGCATGTCCTGTCAATGAGGACAGCTAAGGTCCCTTTGGGACCTGGCATTCTGTGATGGTAGCAAAGTTTTGGAGCATTGACCGTGAAGATGGAAAGCACTGGCTCTTGCCCAGTAATGATAACAGCTAAAGTTGACCGTGTCCCCAGTCCCCCAGCCGCCGGGTGAGGTGCGCGCTGTTATTAGCCTCCTTACAGATGAAGATGGTGGCGAGCCCACAGCCCCACAGTAGAAGGTGGTGGAGCCTGATCCTGGGGGCAATAGTCTGGCCCCAGCACTCAGGCCTGGCGCCGCCGCCCTGTGCTGCCAGCGCTGCGTCAGTGGCCAGCTCATCCCCACAGCCGCTTTCTGCAGCTGCAGCGGGAGCACCCGAGGCCACTGCCCTCCCCCCCCAGCCCCCGCAGTGCGTGCCCGCCACAGGGCAGGGCCCGAGCCCTGGACCCAGGGATGGGCCAGGAGGATTCTCCTCTTTTTCTGTCTACCTTGCTCTTTCTCTGGGCCATTTTCTCTTTTTCTTCCCCCACCTTGGTTCCTCTCTTCAGCTGTTTCTGCATTCCTCTCCGAATGTGTATTTAGTGCCAGAAGCTCTCTGCGGGGCTGAGGTGCCACAGTGAAAACTCAGCCTCTCAGATATGGCTGCCTCATACTGCCCCGATTCACGGGTGCTGTGAGGGTGATGATCTCATCACACTGGCTGGCGGGACAAACTCCAAAATGCAGCCGGGCGCCGTGGCACACCCGTAGTCCCAGAAACTCGGGGACAGAGGCAGGAGGATCATTTGAGCTCAGGTGTTGGACACCAGCCTGGGCGGCATAGCGAGCCCCTGTCTTTGAAAAAGGAAACAAAATGGGTGACGGGTGTTGCAGGCAGGTAGCGTGGTTGGGGGACAATGTGGGGGGTGGGTGGGATTCCAGGCAGGACTTCCCGAGCCAGGCCTTGAAGGACATTGCTGGGCTCGAGAAGGCACTGGCTTTCTCTACTCCAGAACCCACAGCAGAAAAGAGGCCCTGCCCCCTGCAGTGGGTCACAGGGAATCGTCCTCCAGCCCTTCCAAGTTTCCCTCCCAGTCCTCAACAGGGCGCCTGTCATGGGTTTCCCCCCATGCCTGTCTGTGCCTGATATCCCAGCAGGCACGTGTGCTGGGCCTATCCCTGCTTCATCTTCAGAGAAGTGAGCTGCACCTGGTGCAGAAAGCCTGGAGCAGAATGGGAGGGACCCTGCCCCTGCTGCAGCCAGTGGGCTGGAGCCTGCCCTTCTCTACCTGGACTTGGCCCCATCCCCAGCAAGGCTGGGAGACCAGGATTCCTCTCCTCTCCCCTTTCTGGCAACTCCTTCCTGTCCCCGCCCTGGGCTGGGGAAGAGCCATGATGTCTGGCGTTACCTGTTGGTGCTGTTGCCTCTTAGTTCTTCCAACCCTCCCACCGTTTCCTTCTTGGTATGTAGTGTCCATTTGTGGGTTCTGTGTGGGTCCTGTGGAGCCAGGGACCAGGCAGCTTGCAGGCCTGATTATCCTAGCAAAGGTACTTTTGGATTTTGGAGAAAGAAACATGGAAGATATGAAAGAAAGACAGGCGGAGCTCTGGGCGGGTCTGTTTGCCGAGACAGTCTGAGGATGTTGAGTTTGAACAGCAAGACAACAGCCTAGGCTGGCTGTCCTCAAGGTCCAGGAGGGAGAGCCACTTGGAGCCCTGTTGTCACAGCTGCGGGGACTAAAGGAGGTCCAGCCTTGCCTGCCATGTGGTGCTCTGGGGGAGGGTCCGCTGCTCCTAAGCTTCAGAGTCCAAGGCCTTTAGTTCAACTGGGCCCTGCACCTTCAGCCCAGGGGCAAAGGGAGCCTCAGCGCAGGACAGGCAGTGGGGGATCCACTAGTCCTGGAGGCTTGCAGCCTGTTGTGCTGAGGCCAGAGTGGGGATCGTTTAGTCCATGCTTCTTGTCAGAAGTGGCCAGCAGGACTGCAGCCGTCCTGGGGTTTGGGCCTCACTCATTGGCTTGTTTACCTGCCATTTACTGGCAGGCCCTGCCTAACTCATAGCAGGGAGGGACGGCCTGCTGCTGTGCCCAGCCCCCCAGCAAGTGGGCCTTGGACACGGGGTGCTTTGGCAACAGAATGAGCTTGCTTGCTGTCTCTCTCAGTTTTGTGTGCCCGCGTGCCAGAGGACACATTCTTTCTACATCCCAAGAAGGTGGCCTGGTACCGCCCTGCTGGCCCAAGCACTGCTCTGTGCTGTCTTCTCTGGGTCCTGCTTTGGAGCCAGTCCCTCAGGGGGCCCCCGTCGGTAGTTCAGGCTGGCGAGAGGGGACAGGCACCACAGACCTGCAGCACACCCCAGCATGGCCAGGAGCCCTGTGCCCAGCACAGCAGGGCCTAGGCTGCCACTGCTGCCCCGGGTGAGGACAGGAAACAGGCCGGAGGAAATGCTGCCTTCTACTGGAGCTTGGTGGACTCGGCAGGCGAGCGCCGCTGCAGTGGGGCTCAGCGTGGGCAGAACGTTTCCAAGGCAGGATTCAGAGCCCCGCGGTCTGACTGCTAAGCAGAGGGGCAAAGTGCACAGCAGGCCATTCTCCCCAGCTCCCCACCCCACACACACCACAGGCCATTCTCCCCCACTCCCCACCCTGTGCTCTGCCCCTGCCAAGGATTCCGGTGGATCCCAGCTGCCCTCCACCCCCGCAGTGGTGCAACCCTAGCTGACTCCTAGGCAGGAGTGGCACCTGCGTAACCCAAGCCAGCACCCTGAGTGCTGGGAAGGGAGGAGGCTGCAAGCCAGGCCTGGGAAATGGAGCATTCCTGGTCCAGAGCTGCCGCAGGCCCCAGGAAAGGGACTTCTGAGCTGCAAGGTCGTTTGGATGTCTTCCCCCATCCGTATCGCACACATCTAAGTGGGTGGAAGCCGGCTTCCCCGGCTCCCTCCCCGCCGTCCTCCATGCTGGGTGAGTGCTTTTTTTTTTTTTTTCTTGCTGCAGCCTCTGGCCCAGAGGAGTTTGCTGCAGAGTCAAGGCTACTGCACAGGCCGGAGGGGGTGGGGAGGAGGAAAGGAAGCAGGGATCTGGTACCCAGCTCCCCTCAGCCTGACCTGGGGTGCTTCTCCTGTGTGTCCCAGTCTGTGAGCCCCTGAGAGGCACAGCCACCCAGGGTACCCTGGCTGGGGTCTCTGAAGCAGCATGGGCCATAGAAGGAGAGTCACTGAGCTTCCTTCATCCCAGAGATGACCCTGGCTGGCCCTCATCATGGCATCGGGAGGGCTCTGCAGACAGGTGGGCCCATGTGATTAATGGGCTATGTTCAGCTGTCTGGGTCCGGCTGCCTTTTCTGTCGGGAGTGCTGGAATTGGAACCGAGGTCTCGGGCACCTCAGAGCCCAAGCCTCTAGCCACTGAGCTCCACAGCCTCCCAAGCTGGCCAGGCCTTCAGCAGTTGGCCTCCCTGCTGGAACGCACTCAGGGCCAGTCTCACTGCTGCCCTAGTTTCCTCTCTGTGTAGAAGGCCTGTTGTTGTTGTTAGAAAGAAGGAGGGAGACTTCCTGAGGATGTCACTGCTGGGAGGGTCCCTGTCGTGACATGGGGAAAGGAGCCTGATGCTTGCCCCACCTCTGAGGGCTGGAGTGACCGTTCAGTGCCTCTCACTGAGGGACCAGGGCAGCCAGGGTCCTTCCAGGCACACACCAGCTGTCCCGCCTTCCATCCTGGTGTGCCAGAAGGGGCCAGGAGCTCGCTCAGCAGGGCCAGTTCCCCTTCTCGCCCCATCTGCAGAGCTGTCTGTGAGGTGAGTCCAGGGCAGCTGCTGGATCTCCTGTCCAGAGAGAGCACCAGCCAGCACACTGCGCTCTCCTTGGCCCTCACCTCTTTTTATTTTTAGTAATCCCAGAAGGTGTTGATAGGGATTGCAGCTGGCTCTTAGTTGTTTGTCTTTTTTTTTTTTTTAATCTATTTTTGTTGGGGAAACCTGGATTTCCCACAATGTGGAAGCAATGAGGAGGGGGTTTCTGGTCCTGGTTCTGAAGGCTGTGACCTTCAGTACACCTCTATACAATGCTGATAGCCCCCGTACCTCTCTCTCGGGTAGTTTTAAGGATTAAATCAGATAATGCACACGGAAATACGCTACAAATGGAAGTGTTGTTCTTCTTCCAAGTTTGCAAGGAGAGGCAGCGGCAGTGTGTCTGAGTTCCACATGACTTATATTGGATTATTATATAAATCCTGTAAATTGATCTGTCATACTCTTTTATGTCCATTCTTTATGTCATATTTCTCTCTCACATATACACACACAGTTGTA